GCACATCCAAAAACTTCTCCAAAAGGGTAAACAGTGAAGCCACAGTCTGGGAAAAAATGTTTGGTAATAACATGTCAGATAATGGACTTATGTCTAGAATTTATAAAATACTCGAGCACCACAACAAGATAAAGGTAAACAACCCAGTTGCAAAATGGGCACAGGATATGGACAGACACTTCACCAAAGAAGACATTCAGATGGCGAACAAACATATGAAGAAATGTTCAAAATCCCTAGCTCTAAGAGAGGTACAAATCAAAACAACTATGAGATATTATCTCATCCCTGTAAGAATAGCAAATTTAACAGTACAGCAAATGACAAATGCTGGTGAGGTTGTGGAAAAACTGGAGCCCTTATTCACTGTTGGTGGGCATGTAAAATGGTGCACCCACTATGGAAGGCAGTATGGTGCTTTCTCAAAAGGTTGTAAATAAAAATACCATTTGATCCAGGTATTCCACTACTAGGAACAGACCTTAAAGAACCCAGAACTGTCATCCAAGCAGATAGATATATACACACCCATGTTTATTGCAGCTTTGTTCACAATGGCAAAGTGTTGGAAACAACCTAAGTTCCCATCAACAAAGAAATGGATAGAGAAGCTGTGGAATATTCACACAATGGAATGCTATGCTGCATTGAAAAATAAGGAACTTATGAAATATTATACAAAATTGGTGATCCTGGAGGACATTATGTTGAGTAAAGTATCTCAGTCACAAAAGGAACATACTGCATTGTGCCACTGTTGTAAAGCAGTATTGACATTGAGGTTGGAGGGAAACTAAGAGGGGAAAAATAATGTATACTGCATTGAAACAGATGAGGGAGAGAACTGTTTAGGAGGAATATATGATTAGGTATTATTGTCATGACAAGAGTCCAGAATGAAAGCTGCATAGTGGGATGGACTAGGGAAGAGGGGGGATTGTATAACAATAAAAGAATTTTTTTAAACTTTTCAAAGGAAAAGCAAACTGGGGGGAGGAGTGGGAATAAGGAAAGTGTGCAACAATGAATGACTGGAAATCTAAAAAGTCTCTATAAAAGTTCATTGAAATAAATAAAAATTAAAATAAGAAAGATGACAGAATAAAAATAATGGCTTTGAAATAAGTTTCTGTAATTACTCTCAGTAATTTTAAAAAACAGACAATAATAGATGCAAAATGAGAGTTAGTACGTGTGTAGAAAGTGCTTAACCAAACTGCTCCAAATTGAAAGAATCAAACTATATAGTTTGAAACATAGGATTCTTCTAGATAAAAGCATGTTTTAAATGCAATTAATTGTTCTACAGTTGAAACATGCCCAAAAAGAGACTAGAGATCCTCACTTCTCAGTACTTATAAAGAGGTTAAGCTTTTACTTTTCAATAAAAAGTGTCCCAAACCTAACAGACTCTGAGTAAATGAATAACAGCTCGATGAATGACAAAAAAAGTCATTAAATAACACGTGAACAAAAAAGACATTGATTTTAGAGTTAATTTAATGCATACATATTTCTTTTCCTGTAAATATTGATAAAATTTACCCTGATCAATGTTAATATCACTGAGTCTAATTTCATAGAGTATATCTGAACTTCTGATTCATCAAGAGATTTTATAGAAAAGTTAATCTTTACAATCTTTCCTTTTACCAGCAAGCAATCCAAATCCTAGAAGTATACATAGTTAGGACAATCATATTTTCAACTGCTTACTGAAGCAAAGCAAAGAAGGGCTACTGGCTTGAGGAGTAGGAATTTATGAGGACCTCTAGCTTGCTGGCCCCATGAAAGGATTAAGATTGAGAAATCAGTTGGTCTGGAACACAGGAAGAAGTGTGAACTCCTAACTTAGAGGATGATGCTTATTTGGAAATAGCCATGGATTGCTAGGGAGGAACTGACCAGAACCCAATCAGATGAAGAGAAGATGTTTCATGGAGTGAGCTAGTGTTGATTGCTGCAACCTGATGGTTGCCCTAGACTGGATTTGTTTATAGATACAGATGCTCAAATTTCTAAAGGAAACAGAAGATACTTTAGAGCAGGAAATTGTTTCCTCAGAGGCTAATTTGATAGAAACGAGCAAATAAGAAATTGTCTATCAAAAATGGAGATACTCATGCATCAGGCAAGTAGTAGCTGACTTACATGCTTTCTATGAATGCTGTTCTTATTTAGATGACTATAAAGGGAAAGTTAATTTTTCAAGTATGAAGGTTAATGGCTAGAAAAACCAGGGGGTGGTCTGTCACCTCCAAGCTTTATGGTTCAAAATTACTTTCCTAGTAACTCATAAACTTTATGTTTTGTGATGAAGTATAGACTGTATTAAGGAGATAGGATTAGGATGGGATACATGCCCCATCCTTCTAGAGGATATTCATAGAAATTCAATGGTAGCTCTCTTTTGGGATATGCTCACCCTCCTGGGACATGGCTTCCAGCTGCACCACAACTGATAGTCTATAGTATCCTGGCCCAGCTCTCATCAGTCTCTGCCATAGTGAGTGGCCTGAATCACCCACAGTCACATGAGTCATTTCCCTGATGGACCTGAGTTTCTGTGAAACCTTCTATTGAACCACAGAACCCAAAGGACATAGAAGAATAGGGGAACTGAAAGAAGGAGGAATAGTTGATGGAAGATATCATGGAGTGGTACAACCCATCAACATTTGGGACACTTGGCTTCCCCCTTTTTGTAACTAGTATGCTACTAATCTTATAAGATAGAAGTGTAAATGAAAGGTAATATAAACAATTGACAGGACTGCTAGGTATTATAAGCAGAACTGTAGCAAACTGGAAAGCCCACAATATAATAAAAAAGTTTGCTACTTCATTCTGGCTTATTGTTCATGGAGACATGCAGAGCCAGAATTAGCAGATAATTCCATTTCTTAAAAGAAATTGGGGTGGAGGGAGAGATCTCAATTATATGTAATACCTTTCAAACTAAGTAAAATTTTTGAAATATGTAACCAGACTAAACATCTCAAATTTTTACTATGATTTGCCTGAAATTTACAGAATAATTGGTTTTCCAATGAACAATTCATACACTTTAGGTTGTGTAGCATTGGCTAAAATCCTCACACATCCTCGCTGTGTTTTTCATCTCCATTCCTCCTTCTTTTCTATCTGTTTCTGCCTTAGGAGCTTTATTGTTGGCAAAGGCTGACCTCCCATATGCTTTACTGATCCAAGGAACAAATCCCTCCTCAGTATTATGCATCAACTTATTAGTCTATTGTTTGACTGGGATAATTTCTGTTCTGTACCTGAAGGGTCACATGGCCTTAGTCTCAACAACGCCACCACTCTATCAAACATTCTCCTAAACAGTATAGCACTGTTCTGTCATTTCTCTGTATTGATGTATCTTTGGATTGCTGTCATACTGAATGGTGTGCTATTGGCCCATAAAATGCTATAATGGTTACACATGGTAGACAATGTTTGATAGAGCTCACAGATTGAGACAGGCTTGGAAGCAGGAGTGGCATCTACTTCCTAAACATGCCTGTAGAAACTTAATGAACTTAGAGAAAGGACAACAGTTACAGAACAAGGTTAAGGTCTTTTGTTTATAGGCCTGGTACTAGATGGTACTTAACAACATAATACTCCATGCCCCTGACTCCATTCTGGAGTTGGATGGAGTGGCTGGATGGACTCTGTAATATGGTGCTCTTGTTTTTGTTGAGGATCTGTGTGGATTGTTTGGTTGTTTTTATTTTGGTTAGAGTCAACAAGACCTGATGGAGGGCCCTTGTATTTAAAAGTTGGGCCCCAGGGATTATATTTTAATCCTTTGTTTCTATATTTTAGGGGAATAACACTTTTCTGTCAATCTGAGGTAATCTGGATGTACTGTGACACTGAACCTTGTGCTATTGGGGGGTCAAATGCCACAATGGCTGTCCCATGGCGGACAATGTTTGATGGAGCTCCCAGTTTAAGACAGATTTCGAAACAGGAGTGGCATCCACTTCCTAAACCACATGCCTCCAGAAACTCTATGAACTTGGAGAAATGACGATAGTTACAGGGAGGCTTAAGGCCTTTTGTTCATACGGTCGCTACGAGTCATGCCTAACAACCAACAATAATTATACAGCATCATCTTTTTATGATCTTAACCCTCATTCTACATTTAAGTCCCACTTTATGAGGGTCTTTCCTCATGATCTCTTTTAGAGAAGTGGGCAATGGTAGCCAGGAACTACATAGTTCTCTAGTCTCAAAGTTGTGGAGACTGAAGTTCTTGTGGTCCACTATTCTTTATAGTCTTTGATTTTCTTCTTATTCTTAGTTTCAGACAGGGGAAGACCAATACAGAGATAAATTTGAAATAATGTCCTTTAGATTATCATTCACAAGCTTTTAAATCCCCTCACCAAATGAAGACATGGAAAATGATTTGTGTAAACTCTGTTACGTCAATTGGCCTTGCTGTTGCCCAAAGACTACAGTCTTTGTTCCCAGGCACTGTGAGTTGTTCCAGACTCTAAACATTTCTTCCGAACATACTCAGTTTGTAACCATTCCTTAAAGTACTAATAATACACACTGGAAAATGCAAGTTCTAGATCAGACATAGAAAAGGACACACAAAATCAATTTATATTTTTAAATAAATCATCTTATTTAATGTGTGAAATACATATATATTAGCTAAACTGAATTTTTTTCAAAAATAAACTCATAAAACTAGTCTTAAAGAAATCCATCCATTCAAGACAAAATCCACTGTCACCAGTAAATCTTTAAATCAAATTGATACTTTTATACATTATAAATATGTAATAATATACAAATTATTTTACTTATATATAACAATATAGATTTAAAAAATTACTGTTCATGTAACTTAAAGGGAACATCTAAATGATAGAATTTGAGGGCTTTTTAAGCATCTCAAGCATACCAAAGTTCAAAAGAAAGAGCTAATCTATTTTGTATTTAGTGATTCTTTTTTAACTATAAATACTCACCTAAGGATGCATAGACAAATTTTGCCTCCTGATGTGAGTCTGCAGAATCCAAATCTCTGTTTGCTTTCTATGTCTGTCAGTACAAAGGTAAAGTGCTGTCCAACTTGATTTTGAGATACCCTAAAACATAACAAATAGTATTACGGAACATTAAACCTTGTTTGGGAATGCTCTTAAAGATCAGAGAATCTAGAAAATTATTATATGTGATTTTGGTTTCATCTTTCCAGTCAGCTGGTTTTCTTAATAAGAATAATATTCTCAAATTAACGTAACTATTGGCACATATAAATTATATTATGCTTTAAAAATCAGAGTAACTTGTAATGCTTACAGATCAAGCAATTTAGCATATACTGTGTGAGGAAATCAAAAAACCTATCGTGGTGGGAAAGCCTGCTGTTAGGGACCTTTCTAAAGTACTCAAGAGCAACAGTGTTTCTCTGCAGACTAAGGTGTGCCTGATATAGGCCATGTTCTTTGCAATCACTTGTTATGCATCAGAGAGTTAGAAAATGACCTTGTTACTTAAATTTGTATCTTCTAGGCTGCAACACTTCCATGATACATCTTCAAGGATATGAACATGTACGGCTAAGCACAATTGATAACAGTGCATCTAAATTCCAAAATCAATCTCCATAATAGTCTATGTGGTTCCTACTGCAAAGGGGGCCCTTTGGAGTAGTGAGAGAAGACATTCACCCTGAAACCCACAGCGACCCTTTTCAGCAGGAAATAGCTAAGAGAATATGCCATCCCCTTTTCCTTAGGAATCAGGGTGAAGTCTCTCTCAGGGAGGAGTGATAGGGAATGGCAAGGGACACACTGACAAAGGAGATTAATCAGAACTGGCTTTGACAAGCACTGTGGCAACTGGACAATTAAAACAGACATGGGGGGCGGAGAACGAACTGGGGATGAGGGTGGAGGAAACAGTGCAACAATGAATGAATGAAAACCCAAAATCTCTGTAAATGTTCAGTAAAACTAATAAAATTTAATAAATAAAAAAAAAGAAAATGACTAGACAGGATAGAAGGAGAATTGATGCCGTTGAGCTGTGGTGCTGGAGAAGACCATGGACTGCTAGGAAAACAAAGAGTTTCATCCAGGAAAGGGTTAAACCAGGCAGCTCCTTGGAGGCAAGGATTCTGAGGCTCTGTCTAACATACTTTGGACATGTTGTAAGGAGGGACTGGTCCTTGGAGAGGGACATCATGCTTGGTAGGGTGGAGGGACAGCACAGGAGGGGAAGACCCTCTATGAGGTGGACTGATTCAGTGACTGGGATAATCAGGATGGGTATGTCAGAGGCAATGTGATAGGTGCGGGATAGAGCAGGGTTTAGGGCTGCTGTACATAGGGTTGCTATGAGTTGCAAACGACTCTATGGCACATAACAACAACAACATTTCAACAAAACAAAGATTCTCACCAATGGACCAACTGGCAGCATCAGGATGGATGGTGAAGAGATTGAGATGGTTCACAGCTTTAGTTTGCTTGGCTCCACAGTCAACACTCTTGGCACCAGTAGCCAGGAAATTAAAAGGCGTATTGCCATGGCAAAGTCTGCTGTTAGGGACCTCTCCAAAGTACTGAAGAGCAATGATGTCTCTCTGGAGACTAAGGTGCATCTGATACAGGCCATGGTCTTTGCCAACACTTGTTATGCATCAGAGAGTTGGACAATAACTAGGGAGGATAGAAGGAGAATTGATGCCGTTGAGCTGTGGTGCTGGAGAAGACCATGGACTGCTAGGAAAACAAAGAGTTTCATCCAGGAAAGGGTTAAACCAGGCAGCTCCTTGGAGGCAAGGATTCTGGGGCTTTGTCTGACATACTTTGGACATGTTGTAAGGAGGGACTGGTCCTTGGAGAGGGACATCATGCTTGGAAGGGTGGAGGGACAGCGCAGGAGGGGAAGGCCCTCTATGAAGTGGATTGATTCAGTGACTGGAATAATCGGGATGGGTGTGTCAGAGACAGTGCGAGTGGCACAGGACAAAGCAGAGTTTAGGGATGTTGTACACAGGGTCGCTATGAGTCGCAAGGACTCGACGGCACATAATAACAATAATAACTTTTCTTTAAGGGAGCACTGGTGGCATCGTGGCAAGAAGCCACACTGCAATCCTCAAGGCAGGCAGTTTAAATCCACCATCCACCAGCTGCTCTGCAGGAGAATGGGCAATCTCCTCCTGTGCGATTAATTACCTCTGAAAACTTGCTGGAGGGTCAGCTATGTTTCTGCTCCAACTCGATGGTATGTAACAACAAGAACAATCCCTTTTTAGACTATCCTATTTTAGGTCATAGATTTCACATACCTAAATGTCTAAAAAAATAATTCATAAATTTTCAAAAGACTATTTCTGAAGCTTTGAAAGAGTGAAGTTAGACATTGTTATTAAGTCTCTGCCTGTCTCTAGCCTCCTTTCTTGATGATTCTAAGACTAAATGAAGATATAATGTTTCTTTAAAATCTAATGGTAACCATTACCAACTCACATTGAATTACTTTGATTAGCATTCTCCTCAAATCAAGCAGCATACAGAACATTGAATTGGTCTGATTTGCTTAACTTTCTCTTGGAAGGAGCTCTGGTGGTCAAGTGGTTAAGAGCTATTCTGTCAACCCAAAAGTAGACTTTTCAAATCCACCAGCTGCTCTATGTGAGGAAGACAGATGTCCTCTATGCAATTTACCACCTCTGAAAACATGCTGGAGGGTCAGTATAAGTCAGTTCCAACTCAAAAGCACATAAATAACAACAATATATGTTGTTGTTGTTGCTGACTGCCATCGAGTCAAGCATGACTCATAGTGACCCAAAGGCCTGAAGTCTTTCTATAACTATCATCATTTATCAATGCTCACAGAGTTTCCAGAGGCACATTGTTTAGGAAGTGGATGCTACTCCTGCTTCCAATATATAAAAGAATGTAATTTCTGACCAAAAAAGGAAAAGAAAGAAGAAACACTTCCTGGCTAAGTGGAAAATAAATTGTACTAAATTTTAATTAAGTATCATATTGTCATGACACTGCAGTATAAGGTTCTATATAATAGTTATATTGAGTCTTTACTTGCACTTAAAATATTTTTTTCTGGTTATACTGGCTATAGTCTAGCCACAAGGGCACCCATAATCTGCTTTCTTGTCCCAAATTAAAACTTCCACGTAACTTGAATGTTGATTTTTAAATACTCATGGAAAATATGAAACAGGAATTAAATCACTTTCCCACTGGTATACTGATACTAAAAACTATTTTCAACTCCAGAAAGTATTGCACTTAAAATGCTAAACAAATACACTTTTAAGTGGATACTAAAAAATACCCCAAAAACCCAAACTTTCACAACTTCAAAAGCACCCCCAGTGCCTACTGTGCCCTCTTGTGCTCAATGTTCATAGTATTTTTTAGCCTTTTCACATTTCATTTTACTATTTATTCTAAAACCACAACTGTAGGAAGGCACAACAGTAATGTGGAAGTACATTCACCAGCAACACTGATCAACTATCCCATCATTAAGAGAAGGCTTTGTCTTTAATACAAAATTTTAGATTCTAATTTTAGTCTGAGCAAAATATTTCTCTAAATCAATATTTTTTAAACCTTCCTCATAATACACCCTTAAAAACTGCTAAGATGGAATGGAAATCACATGAAAAACAATAAATGACCTATGATTATGCTCAGAAGATTACATATTCTATGCCATCCCAACTAAACATTTTATTTCAGTATTTAGTAACTGAAATGCAAGTATAACACTTTCCATACTGTTAGGTAGGTTTCCTCTGTATCTTTGCATAATATTACATTATTCTAATTAGTTTATTCTTACAAAACAACTAGTTATCAGTTTTATTCCACTCTTTTAAATAAAGTGAGGTGAGAGAAAAACCAAAACATGTAAATCTAATGCTTAAAAATGGAATTCTACGGTCTTGATCAGGAACATATCAAGCTTTTTTCTTCTGGATGTTCTTAGACTATGTACCTGAAGAACAAAGGGTGGAAATGGAATTTACTGGCAGTACTGCTTTAAGACATCTCAGGAGACATAGTGAGAAAGCAAGATGATTCAAACACTTCTTCACACCAAGTCTTATTTAATCTCTAACCTTTTTTTGTTACAAACAGTAGAGAAAGTATATTGTATTTTATGGGGGGGAAAGCACATGTAATAATTTTCAAGTGTGCACTAAGATGGGATAATGTTATTTTAAATGATGAATTATACTGTACCTTTCAACGTCAAAGGGGAAACAGAACTTTGGTACACTCTGTAGTACTTCCTATAAATGTAAATTAAAAAAAAAAAGCTTTAGAATATTTATAAAGATGTAGTAAAACTTTTTTGAGACATTTTCTAGGAAGGATAAAGGGTATTCTTTTTTACTGTCGTAATTTTTTTTTCCTTAAGAAAAACAGCACAGGTTCCTAGACTAAAATAATTGATTATTAAAAAGGAATTAAGTTTGTGCTTTGGCAGATTGCACTGACAATGCCATTGAAACCCCAGGAGGGAAAGGCCTGGCCTGAAGGGTATTAACACCCTTCACATCCCCGCTGGGATTCCCTTCAACAAGGCCATATGGATTTTACAAGAAGCACTGCACCATATGGGTAAGCTACGTCTGCTGCTACTTGTACCACAGACTAGCCACAGGGACTTCTGACAGATCCTGGCTCAAAAATATAAATGTTGTTTCAATTAAAATGCAGGCAGAGAAAAGGGAATGAAGTTGGCAGCACAATGAATCACTGAGAGGTATAACAACTCTACATATCCCACAGTCAAGCGGTTAAAAACATACTTTATGGTTAAAAAAACAGTCATTTATAGGGTTCAACTCTTGATAACTGACAAATTTAATAACAGTAACACTTAGTTTTATATCAAATAATGCCCTTTAAAATGTATCATTAAAATCAAGGCTTTAAATTAAAAAACATAGCTTCTAATTTGTGCACACTTTCATTTAAGAACTAATAAAAAAATCAATGTTTTAATTAAGCATAGAAATGTCTAAATTACTTTTAGCCATCATAAGATAATTTGGAAATGTTCAGACATCATATTTATTAATGATTGTAGCAAAGGACAAATAACTGTCAGCTATTTGTAAAATATAAAAAAAATCTATTTCCTTATAACTGAAAATCAACTGCAATTCAAAACTCAAACTTCAAAACATAATTTAATTTAATAACACACAACTTCCAAAGTAGGTAATTCTGTAAGACAAACCAATGTTAATGAGAAAGTTTCCTATTCAGAAGAGGGGGAGCCCCTACAGGATCACTTCTAAAAAGACCAAATCAAAACCCAAGAACCCGAGCTTCTGCTTACCAATAAAACTTACATCTATAGAAATAATCAATAGTTAAACATTTGACCTTATAAGTAAAGATAATACTGAGTTATTGAGTATTTAAAAATAAAATTCTTCTTATAGCTTTAAAATACACAATGCAATAAGAGACCGGTAAAACATAAAACCCTAACATTACCATAGCAGTATCTACTAAAGCTTCCAGCCTAACTCACTAAGGAAAGAAAAGGATTCTGCTTAAAAGAAGCCTTCTACCTTTAGAGTGGAGTGCCTTGATTTGCTTCTGAATATCTACCTCTAAGAGAACAAGGACAAACTCCATACTTAGCGGAAATTAATGGTATAACTGCTGAGAACATTTTGTTATATATCATTGGAAGATTATTAAATTTGAAATGATGTCACTGAATTAGACTGAAAAACAGTTCATTTTACAAGAGTTCATTGGACCACTGTTTAATTCGTATCTTGTGTCATGTAAATGGAAGCCATTTATCCTATTTACTACACACATAGATAATGTTTCCATAGCCTCCTTAATAAATTAATTATATATATGTCCACCTCTAAACATACTTAAATTACTAATACAATAAAATCCATTTTAAGGCTTAAATTCAAGATGTTTCCCAGTTAGATGCCCAATCTTCCACACCCTCCCCCATTCATTCTTTCCCAACACACATGATGCACACACTTCTGCAAAACAGCCTCAGCTCGCTTCCCAACTGGCAGAAGCATCCCTCAGGGGACAAGTCTTTAAACCTCCGCACTCTTTAAAATTCAACCAGCCAGCAGGTCTATAGACTAGTGTATAAACAGTATAGACAAAAAAATCCTCTCTCAGCTTATGTCAGTGACAAAGCAGCTCAGCAGTTGACTGTTTCTCCCCTGACAGTATAAGCTGGGTTTACACAGATCAATAGCTGGAAGTCCTACCTAGCTCCCAGGACTCGATTTTCTTCCTTAATTACAGGTGCTATTCAAACTGAAGTTAAAAAAGAAGAGAGAGAAAGAATTGGAGACAGGAATAAGATGCATGCAAAAAGCTTTTTTTTTCCTTGGGGAGGGGGCACCAGGGGTGCTTTTAGGTGAGTAAGAGTTCACTGAAAACCATATTTTTGTTGATAAAACCATATTAATGTTGATAAACGTTAGTCTTTTTTCAATATATTATGCATGTGCACACAAATGTACTTCTAGTGTGGTATTCAGAAACTGATTATGTAACGAGTTTAGAATAATACTCTCCAAAAGTTCCCCTTTTTCTATAAGCTTTTCTTTTTAAGAGTGATAAGATAATTTATTTAATAATAAAACTATTTGGGCTTTCAGAATCATCTTAATCTCAAAAAAATTTTTATACAAAACTAGAGCATATTCAATAGCACATGTTAGTTAAAAACCAACTCCTATAAATGCAAAACCGCAAAACTACAAATTGCACAATATAAGGGAAGTAATATTTATATATCCACATAAGTCCTTACAACAACAAGTCTACATACATTTTAATGCCTGAGAACAAGGACTGATGAAAATTTTATACTTTTTTTTCAGCGTGGTGTCAATGCATCTCTACCAATAAGCATTATATAATCAAAATAATTCTTAAGAAACAAGAGAGTAAACTACTAGTGCTAGAGTGGTACATTAATGATCCTAAGAGGATAACACTTAACACTATAAATATATCAAATGAAAAAGAAAAGAAGCATTGAAGAAAGAATCCACTCTTTAAAATAATGGCAACCACTTGCACAAAGTAAGTACAAAAGCCTTGGAATTTCTCTGAGAGAGAAGCTCAACAATAAAATAAAACAGACCATTGTAATATTATAATTAATTACTCTTCCTCCTCACCTATAAGTATAGCTTCAATTATCATCAATGAGAAACTACTAAATTTTCTAGTCCTCTAGTTTAAACATTTCTTCAAATTCCAGGATTGCATAACTACTTATTTATATAATTTTCTGAAATGTTCTCCAAATACTTCAAACTTACAATGTCCAAAACTGAGGTCATCCTTTTAGCAATAGTCCTTATCATCCAGAATCACAGTACCATCTAAACAGTTAGCCAAATCAACAACAAAGGAATAATGCAGATTCCTATCTTTCCCTGACTCCCACACAACCAATCATTTACAAAGTTCTATTCCATTTCAGAAGTATCTTGTTCCCCTGGTTTTCAACAACAGAGGGAAGAAAGATGAGAAGGCATCAGAGTCACTTCTGAGGGTTTTTCAAAACATCTTCGTCTATACTTAGACTCTTCTTCTAAATGTTCCTATATGAACATTAAGCATTTATCTGCAGTTGGAATAGCACCTATAATTAGATCAAATATATCAATTAGGATGCTTGCCATACATCCTCTTGTTAATTGTAGAGTCAGTTCCAACTCACAGTGACCTTATACAAAATAAAACAAAATGCTGGTTGGTCTTATGCCAATTTCATTGCCACTGACATGTTTGAATTCATTTTGTGGCCACTGGGTACGCCTTTCAATCTAGACAGTTCATCTAGCATTATACTAAACAATTTTCTATGTTGTCCACTGAGTTTTCAATGGCTGATCTTCAGAAGAAAATGTCCAGGCCTTTCTTCCTAGACTGTCTTAGTTGGAAGCTGTCCACCATGGATGACACTATTATTATTTAAAATATCAATGACATAGCTTCTAATATGAAGCTATCACAGCATAACAAACTGCCAAGTAGTAACTGGCACATACAAGAATTAGTTATTGCCTACAACCAGGAAGCAACAAGGTAGGCTTGTTATGAGGCTAGTTAATCGAATTATCTTCTTCAAGGACTGGAGATCCACAATCCTTCCGCCTATTACTTTGAGTTTCTAAGTTTTGTACTTTTCTAGCTCTACTCTTGGAAACACTATGGACTTCCAGAGTTGTGTGTATCACATGAAGATACAGAAGTATTCTTTGGAAGAAGCATCACATTCTGTGACTTTCTTTTATCACAGAGAAAACCTTTTGCAGAATTCCCACTCGATGAAATATACTTCAGTTTTTTCATTTGTCAGAATATGACAAGCCACTATTAATCACTGACATGGAAAACTCAGAACCAACATGACTCTTTTTTCATTAACTGTGACAAGTTACTATACAAAGAAACTTTTATGAAGTAGTATAATTTCTTCTGTAAGACTTTCAACATTAAAGAATTAAATGCATATTAAATTTCTAAATAAATACAACATAATATTATATCCGGTGTTTTCAAACATGCATAATCTTATTACTAGTATTTTCAGAATCATTCTGTAACAATAAGATAGTTACTTGTCAATCCTGATACCATTTTCACACCACCATTAATTTATAAAAATATTTTTTACTCTTTAACCTTAATGTTGTAGTGTATCTACCAAAATAAAAGAGAATTAACTAATATGTACTTTTTTCAATGTATAGTAGTGTATTTTCCCTCAATATAAAAACTTATTGTTTTTGTTAGGTATTATGGAGTCATGTATGACTCATAACAACCCTATGAACAGCAGATCTGAATCCCATCCTATCCTGGGCCATCTTCACACTACCTGACACACTGCCCATGTGGCAGTCACCATGTCAATCAATCTTGTCAAGGGTCTTCATCTCCTTCAGCAACCCTCCACCCTTCCAAACATCATGTCCCTCTCCAAGGACTATATCCTCCTAGCAACATGCCCAAAGTATATGAGGCAAAGTCTTATCATCCTTGCCTCCAAAGAGCACTCTGCCTGCACTCTCTCCAAGACATATTTATTTGGTCTTTCAGCTGTCCATCAGATGTTCGGTGATCTTCTCCAAAACAACAGCTTAAAAACATCAATGCTTCTTCTGTCATCCCTATTCATTGTCCAGCTCTCAGGTGCATTGCAAGTAATCTGAAAGACCATGGCCTGATTCAGTTGCAGTCCTCAAAGTGACATCATTATTCC